GACCAGCATACCCATCAGACCAGCATACCCATCAGACCAGGATACCCATCAGACCAGCATACCCATCAGACCAGCAAACCCATCAGACCAGCAAACCCATCAGACCAGCATACCCATCAGACCAGCATACCCATCAGACCAGCATACCCATCAGACCAGGATACCCATCAGACCAGCATACCCATCAGACCAGGATACCCATCAGACCAGCATACCCATAGTCAATACGCATGCACAAGACGTCTGATTTGTGTTTGTATCTTTAGTTTTGTTCGAAAAATAAACTTTAAACTACCTCGACACAGCCATGACCATATTAATGCAGTAATTTATTTTTTTCTTTCATTGTATTCTATTTCATTTCTATTGTACTTTTTTATCTTTACTTATTATTTTCTATTTAATTTTTGCTTTTTCCATTGGTGCTGCTTATTTAATTACTAACTACATTTATGTTTGTGAGTTACTTATGTTTAACCATGTGACCTACTTTACTTGGGAGCCTAACTTGTTGTTTATACTTTCAAAGTTTATCGTATAGAGCAGCAGCCTGAATGTGGGGGCGTGTTTCCCTTTATTCATGTACAGAAATAACTATTTAAGGCCATACGCTTCAAAAAACACCAAAAAGGAAGTAATTAAAAAGTTTTTTTGTATATAACTAAAGGGATACACGCCGTTGAGGTAGTTTAAAGTCTATTTTTCTTCAAAACTAAAGGGATAAACTGAAATCTGATGCGCATTCGTATTGACTATGGGTATGCCGGTCTGACGGGGTATGCTCTTCTGACACAACACCGGTTCTGCTTCCTCGATCAGGCTGATCTCTTCTTACTTTTAGCCTTTTCAGACAGAGGAACTGTAAAGAGACGCCTCGCTCTCAAAGTGTGATTCCACTAGTTTAGTTTGCAGAAAAACCTCCATGACTAGCAGATTTAGTTCCTGTAACAGTCATTGCTGTTCTGGGTAATAAACAGCTGTTTCTGTGAAGTTAACGGTTCAGTTCGATAGAATAGTTGCATGTTAATGGATGGATCTGGGTTTAAAAGCTGATGTTTGCTCAGCATGGAAATTAATCAGTGATTAAACCCATAACAATAAAAAAAAAAGCCAAAGCTGAGTCTAAATGTTATGATGTTGCAGAATGAGTGGTGGTTCTGGCATCAGCTTCTCTCTCCGTTCACAGGTTATCAAAGCCTACCATGAATGACACGTACGCTGTTGTCAACAAGCCCAAGCAACCCCACAGAACCACATCAGAACCCGCCTACTGTCCTGTGGTGACACCACGGGCCAAACCTGGAAGCAGGTAGAGACAGTCTGACCCTGAATGTTCTCCGCTTTAATTAAATGGTTTTCT